GTTGTATGGAGCCATAAATGTCGTTTCTAATTTGACAGTTATGATCATGGGAGCTGCAATCTCGACTGTTTGCTATAATCTTAAACTCAGGCATCCAACTATTGACATGCCAATTATCGACTATGACTTGGCTGTTCTCATCCAACCTATGCTTATGCTAGGCATTAGCATCGGAGTTGCTTTCAATGTGATATTTGCCGATTGGATGATCACAGTTCTTTTAATCATTCTCTTTATAGGTAATTAACATTTGTGTTACAACTTATTTATTATGTATCCTGTTTCAGTGACTCTTTTTTATATGATATGAACCTTGCAGCCACATCAACTAGGGCCTTTTTCAGTGGAGTTGAAGCATGGAAAAATGAAACTACGGTGAAAAAGGTAATCATTTCAACTTTTTTACACAGTTTGGAGGCATTTTGGTGTCGTGTTATTCATATTTGTAGCGTCAATGTGATAGACGAGGGTTCAAATTAATTGAGTCGTGGTAAAATCTAAGTACAATTTATTTTTGTATTCTTTGGATCCTTTTGCCCTTAGAATAGCTCGTCTTTCTGTTTTGTATTGAATGCCAATTGCTGTATTGCTGCAGGAGGCTGCAAACCAATTGGAGGCAAATGGTGAGTCCATTTATAAAATTTTGTTCATTGTATTATCGAGTACAATCTAATACTACAGGCCAAACATGCACCGAAGGATCACCTTTTCTTTTTATTTCTTTTTTCCATTTTTGGCCCATAATTTCCCCTCTAATAAATAAAGTATGCATTTTTCCCATTCCACCAGGCAACGGTACAGAAGAAGCAGATAATGAGCTTCATCATGGAAGCCATAGCAATGACACGGAAAATGTGGCCAGAGGCTTGGCAATACCCGAGGTCTGACATATTTCCATACTAGTATGCACTTTCCAAACTCTTAAATATGACACAACTCAAAATCTTAGGTTGGCGTCCTCGAAAATGTTCGTTGGAAGGAACTCGGTCTTCTTGTCTTCGTTTGGATGGCATTTGTTGCAGTGCAGATCATCAAGGTTTTCACCTTTTTTTCTTTTTCTTGCATATATTATTTTTACTTCCAGATCATCTTAACTAATCAGTATCTCTAAAACTCACTCACTCATCCTCAAATTGAACAGAACTATACAGCTACGTGTTCAGCAATATACTGGGTAGTGAGCTTGCTGCAGGTATGTGTAATCTGCATATTTGGGAAACTTGTAGCCGATTCCTTGATGTGTTAAAAATCTTGTTAATACTTACTTCTTTACCATTCAAAACTACCGTTCTTTGATCTCCAGATCCCCGTCTCTCTTGGTGTATCTGGTTTCGAATCAATTTGCCTGTACAAGGGATGGAGAAAAATAGCATCCAAAGGAGATGGAGGCTCCAACTTGAAAGTGCACAAACTGATAATCTATTGCTTGTTAGGTGTACTGGCTGGTATCGTAGGTGGTTTACTAGGTATAGGAGGAGGAGCTATCATGGGTCCTCTATTTTTGGAGTTGGGCGTTCCACCTCAGGTGAGTTCGAGATCTTTCTAAAATAATGTTGCAGACTCATTTTTCTAGAAAAAGTTGGGCTGACCCCAAATTAATTAAGAACAACGCTTAGTGAGTTTGTTAAACAATTTTTAATTATATGTACGTGCATAAAAGTTTCACTTAACCTGATGTTCAAAAAACCATACAAAGATTTTGGAATTTTTTTTCCTTTCCTTATTTTTCATTTTCTTGTCTGTTAAACATGAGAATTGGAGAAGATGTCTCAAATTTATGCCTCCGTTCAGGTTGCAAGTGCGACGTCCACCTTTGCCATGATATTTTCCTCATCAATGTCTGTGGTTGAATATTACCTTCTAAAACGGTTTCCAGTTCCATATGGTAAGTGCATATCTAACTAAGAGTGCGAGTCTTTTGAACTGCACGGTGCTCAACAGAAGTTTAAGTTTTTATTTAACTACGTACCGTGTACCAAACATGCACGGATTGTTCTATCTCGTCAATAAGTAAACTTGTATTGGTTCTTATATCATGGTTATTTATTTTTATTTTTTAAGATTTGTATTTAATCATTGATTTCTACATCTCTGTGTTCAGCTCTTTTGCTGGTTGTTATTGCCATTGTTGCTGCGTATGTTGGTCAACAAGTCGTGATGAAAGAAATTATTAAGATGGGACGGGCATCTATGATCATCTTTATTCTGGCATTTATAATCTTTGTGAGTGCCATCGTTCTAGGTGAGCAACTTCATTCACCACTTTTATATCGGTTAAAATCATGAATTTCTTTGAAGTTATGTTTTTCAATTATTTAAAAGGAAGATAAATTTATTCACATGCAACTGTTTACTCAACTAGCTTTTAATACACGCATACATGATTGTATAATCGTTTTCATTCATACTATTTTTTTTTTCGTGAAACAGGTGGAGTTGGCATTTCAAACATGATTAAAAAGATTGAGAGGCATGAATACATGGGAATTGAGAACTTCTGCAAGTATTAAGTATAACACAATGCTTCGAATCCTTGCTATTATCACAAATTTATTTCAATCAAGTTCAAATCACATATAATGACATCTTAGAAAATTTGCAAAAAGAGTACACGGTTGATTATTGAAATCCATTGTCGACAAATTGCATCAAAGCAAGTCTTAGCCCCTTTCCTCCCAGTCAATTATTTATTTGAATAATGTCCATAACTTGATCAGAAGACATGTCGTAATCCAACAAGTCATGCGTGAGCTGAGCACATGTATAGAGTATTATCCCTCAGCTAGTGAATGGTTAGATCTCATTATTTAAAAAAAAAAAAAAAGATAAGGGTTTTTGGTTGCAATCGCACTATTTCTCTCTACAAAAATACACTCAGTGTATAGATTTCTCAAAGAAAACTAGAAGAAATCAACTTCCAACCAAAGGATTTGAAAGAAGAACACGAAGAGAAAAGAGAAAAAGATTTTGAAAATCAACCCAAACTGTAGAACACGGATTATCACCAAATAGGGCAACCAAGGGATATATTTAGACTCTTATTACCAACCATTGATCTAATCTTGAACAATGGTCGTGTGGCTTCGCAATTGTTACATGTTTTCGATACATAAATATAATGCAAGTATACGGTGTCATATTTTGTAATATAAAGATCAAGTACGGATGTCAAACCCATAGGGATTGAATATCAATTTATACTGGGTACTATAATTGAGTAGCTTCTATTTTATTTAGATAATCAAATTATAAGATCAATGTTTTACCTAACTCTAACGTGACTATTGTGACAAATTCAATGATTTCAATGCAATTTAGAAGAAATAATCAAGATGAGAAAGCCGAAGGTTGTGATTTCACCTAACTATCATCTAAATTTCTCAATTATATAGTTATCTCTAATCAATTTTCCAAAGTTTATAAGAAAGAACCCTAATGTAATTCTACTCCCTCTCTCGAGTGCCGAGTAAAAACTATTCCTTGAATTCAATTTCAATATCTCTATTCCAAATTAAAATCAACAAATTATTAAGAAGTTTCCCTTTTTCAAGTGTCGAAACTTAAACAATCAATTCATTCAATTAGTGATCAGCTAATTGAAAGCATTAAAATCAATAACACAAGTAAATGGAATAGGAAAATATTTAAAAAAAATAACTATTTAATTATCAAAATATAATCTCAAGTTGGTTACATCAAACCCTAGATACGGAGTTTAGTTCATAACGAAAGCCATATAAACTAATAAAATGATATAAAACAACATAGAGAAGAGAATAGAAAAAACTACTTTTGTAGATCTTCAATCTTCTTGGAGTTGTTGTTCTTGCTTTCTTCCTTGATTTATTGATTCTTGCCCAGTTGAATTGTAGTTGAAAGAAGGTATTTATATCATCATCTAGTCTCGAGAGCAATTAGAGTCAGATTGAGCCTTAAAAGGATCTCCAAAATTCAAAACTTCTGTCCATCGTTGACAGTGCCACGACGCTGCGACAATCTGGTGGTTGGCGTCTGGCGCCTGGTCAGTGGTGCTGGGAAGCCATTGTTCAGAACTTTTTTTTCGATGTAGAGCACCGAGTTCCCTAGCATTGGTGCTGGGGCAATGTTTCGCTGACAATCTTCTGGCTTTAGTGGCATTGAAGCACCATATTACTGGCACTGCGACGTCGGTCTTCTACAATAATTTTTATCAAAATATGGTGCCATCGTTGATTTTTGCCCTTTTTCTTCTTCAACTTACCTTATTTCTTCGCCTCGTTTACAAACTTTCGTGCTTCCTTAATGTCGATTCTTATTCATCCTTTTCTACCAATTCGTCAAACTTATATCACGACATCAACAAACACATCAAAACATTCTAAAAGCTCTTAAGATGTAACAAATTATCGAATTAAGTGGCATAAATATCATGAGTATAGAATACTCATCAAATACCCCTAAATTGAGCATTGTTAGGGATACATCACCCCATACATAAGGGTCTACACCCCTCTCACATAGAAGGTGGGACCTGCTCGAATAAAAAAATATTATTTCAATGGGTCCCACCCCCCATGTGAGGGGGTGTAGACCCTTATGTACAATGATTGATGTACAAGTAGAAAATTTCAATTTAATATTTTGCTAGTCCTTGAACAAACACAAAACGAAAAAAAGAGAAATAACGAAATACACAAACAAAACTAACAAACGAATTCATATATGACAAGTTTAGTTAAATAGCTTGCCTCTTGTGACTCAAGATTGAAAAGTCAAATATTTTCATTCTTCTCTCGTGGGATTCATACACTACCAAACTTGTTTTCTTTTCATTCTCTTCCCAAGGTAAAATATAAAGTTTATTTGTAACTACCAATTTCTTATACCACTCAAATTTGGCTTAGTCTAACTGACAATGACAACAAATTATGCATTTGATGATCCTTCTAAATTATGAGTGTTTCGACAATCAAGCTTATACTAAGAAATTCAAACATACTATTTATCTAAGCCCCCATAATAATTTAACAATTGCACAATTTCATGCTTATTTTGATATTTCTTTTTAGCTAGAGATTAACCTCACCCTTTTTTCTCTTCTTGGCCCCTTTAACAATTTTTTAGTTGATAATTCCCCAGTTTTAATTGCCAAAGGGTACCGGATTTTAAGAAACTCCTAAAGACTTACTCACTAGGGTAAAAAAGGTGCCGACGTGAGGCGTAGAGTCAACAAGTGCAGTGCTCTTTTTCTTTACAAGTAAAACAAAAATAAAAGGGCTAGATCTCTAGCATACAGTTATTACTTAGCTCATACTTGAAAGTTAAAGACACTCAACACCAATATATATATATTTTTTAACATGCATGGCATCACCACAATCCTAAATCATATCCTTCACGACTCGAACACCCCAAATTATGCTATACAAGGTTAAGGATGTAGTGAATCATAGGTTATGGGATTTGACATCTAAGTTCTCTATGTTAATCTATTAGCATGAATCAACATATTCATGTATAATGCAACAATCAAATCACATGCATATATAATTTTAGGTTTCACATGGATAAGCAGAAATTTAACCAAAACATAACTCCATTATAATTCATAAACCAACACATGTTCTCAAATATATACATCAACGCCGAGAAGGCTATTTAATTCACACAAGCATGCAAATTTTTTTTTTTTTAATAATCACACAAATCAAACAAAATAAAAAAAAAATCACACAAAATAACTAACCAATCGACAATTAATATTTCACTCCCAAACTTAAATTAAATATTGTCCCCAATGTGAAATTCAAGATAAAGATGAAGACTTCACTGAATAAAAAATATTGGTTGTTTTCTTTGCTATCGGCGTCATGGTGATTCTAATGGATGTTTAATGTTGATTCTAGCTCATCCCCCAAGTTTGAGACTTAACGTATAAGAAAAACAAACTTATTAAGGAACTATCAATAAAATTATAAACTAATTATCTAAGCATAAGAGATAGAGAGATAGAAAGCTTGGGGAACTTCCCAAGAAGCACTTTTTTAATATCATTAGCTTGACGATGTCAGAATGACTTAGGTGGGATCTTCAAGAGGCACTTCTTTCATATTTTGAAACTTTTTTCTTGGCTTTGGATTTTTCTTCAATAGAGAATGGTCACAAGGATTAAGAAGTGGCTTCAGCTTTGATATAGCTTTCAAAATCTCCTTTGATTTAACAATGTTAGGAGGTTTCAAAGGTTCTTCTACGTAGTTTTTCTTTCCTTCTTGTGGGTAAGTTTCATGAGCTAAGAGAAAGTCTACCACTTCCCTACTCCCTGTGTAGCTTCCAATAGCATGTCACTTATTGAATATCTGGTTGCAATATATTGCTCCAGAGGATCATAGAACAATTCTCTTTTATAATTTCAACCCATTATTGCATCAATTGATTTTGACCATATGGCAAGTATTAACTTTTCTAGGGATTTCTTGGTTTGATAGATGTTGAACATGACTTGCTCTTTATTAACCCGCAGTGTTAATTTTCCTCCTTGTATATCAATCAAAGCTCTCCTGGATGCCAAGAAAGGTCGACCAATAATTAATTGTAATTCTTGATCTTCTTCCATGTCTAAAACCACAAAGTCAAACGGAAAGATGAACTTGTTTACCTTCACCAATACATCTTCAATGATACCTCTGGGGTATGTGATGTATCTATCAGCTAGTTGCAAAGTGATGATAGTTGGCTTCACTTCTTCAAGACCCAATTTATTGAATACTGATAGGGACATCAAATTTATGCCAACTCTAAGGTCACACAATTCCTTATCAAAAGTAGAAGCGCCAATTATACAAGGAATAATGAAACTGCCTGGATCTTTCAATTCCGAGGGAGCTTCTTTTAGAGAATTGCAATGCATTCCTATGTCAATTTAGTTGTCTCAATATCCTCCAGCTTCCTCTTCTTTGACACCACTTCTTTGAGGAACTTGGCATAATTCAGTATTTATGCCAATACATCTACAAAAGGAATGTTGATGTAAATTTTCTTAAAGACTTAAGAAAAATTTTGCAAACTGCTCATCAAACTTCTTCTTCAAGAACCTCTCTGTGGATATGACAACTGTGGATTCAAGATAAGTAGATTATCAAGGAATGAGATTGAGTAAGGCTTAGGAGCATTCTTTGTTGCCCTTACCTTAGTCTTCTACTCTTCAACAATATTTTCTTCCACATGTTTGGAATAAGCTGTAGGAATCAAAGCTTCTTTAGGTTTTCTTTCTCTAACTCTTTACCACTTCTCAGCATTAAGGCATTGCAGTGTTCCCATAGGTTTACCTCTGTGTCACTAGGAAATTTTCCTTTCTGCTGGGAGTTTATTGCAGTTGCAAACTAACCAATTTGTACCTTGAGATTTTTTGTCGTGGCCTTCCATGTTGGTCATATGAGTTTTAATATTGTACAGTCCCCCAAGATGTCCTCTAGTGATAGCTTCCCTTTAGAAGTCTGAACCCAGGTAGAGATTGTTGTACGTTCCTAGTATTACCATAAGACATATTCTCATGGTTTCGCAACCATGGATGATAGTTGCTACCGAATAGTTTCATCTTCGGTTAAAGTTTCGGCCATTTACATACTGGACTTGCTCATTCTCTATCTCCATTTCTTTGATTAAAGTAGAAGCATGCATAATAGAATCTAATTTTTTTGCTAAGACCCTTGTGAAGTTAATACAACTACTTGGTTTGTGAGTGATGACATATGAGCTGCAAGAGCTGTAATATGATCCACCACATAAAAGTCAACAACTTTCTTTGCACTCGAATGTTCACTTGACAATTGATAGTTGTTGGTGGCTATTTCATCCAATAGTAAATAGCAACCTCTGCAACCTAAGACTTCAAAGTACCACCTGCTGCAATATCAACTGATGTCCATGCCTAACATTCAACACATTGTAGAAGATCTCTATTTGTATCCTATTTTGATGACCATGCTGAGGGCATCTTCTAAGTAGATCTTTGAATCTTTCACAAGCCTTATAGAATGGTTCGAAGTTTGCTTGTCTGATCTAGCTAATCTCACTATGCAATTGAGCTCCCAAGTTGTGATGGATGTATAATCCTTGAGAAGGAAAATAGACGGAGTTTGATGACATCTTCAGTAGCATTGTTCATCTTCACGATATCACAATCTCCAGAAATGAACCCATATGAGCATTAGGATCATCATGTGAAGATCTCCCAAACTGATTTTGTTGCACAATGTGGATCGATCCTAGCTTCAATTCAAAATTATTTGCAAC